AGTGCACCGGGCGAATCTGCGGGCAAGCATATTGCCCCTTACCGACAACGCTCTGCGCTCTCGCTCAATATCCTCATCATCTCCTAGGTCGCTCGTAACAATATGACCCAAATATTTGAACTTCTGTACGACTTTCAGAGGTAAACCATCGAGACATACGGGTGGCACATGTCGTGGCTTCCGTTGCGGTGCCTTAAATACTAATATTTCACTCTTTTTTGAGTTGTATTTAAGGCCCTGCTCCTCCGCATATGTCTCGCAGATAGAAAGCAGTTTCCTCAGACCTGCTATAGAAGGACTGAGCAGCACCATGTCGTCAGCATAGCTTATGTTGTTGACACATATGTCATCGATGTGGCAGCCAACATGTGTGCTGCTAAGTCGTTCAATCAGTTGGTTTACATACAGGTTGAACAAGAGTGGAGAGCTTAAGCCACCCTGCCTTACACCGCATTCCAGCCTGTATTCTTCCGACAGAGCTCCAACCCACCTCACCTGGTTACGCTGGTTAGCATACCAGTATCTTAGAAGAGCCGTGTACTCCGCCGGCACACCCGCGTCCCTCAACTTGCCCCACAGGATGTCGTATGAGACCAGGTCAAAAGCTTTCGATAAGTCGAGGAAACACGCGTACACCGGCGTCCGCCTTACGGTGTAGTATTTGACAGTGTGTTTCAGACAGTAAATAGCACTCTCCGTCGATAAATTCGGCTTAAACCCAAATTGTGCATCGTTTATTAGTACGTATTTGTTGAGACACTCATTTAACAGACTATCAAACACCTTGGCTGCAGTGGTTGCAAGCGAGATAGGTCGGTAATTACCCATGTCGGATGTGTCCCCAGTTTTATTTTTAACAATGGGTACTACAATAGTCCTCATCAGTGGCTCGGGTAAGTAAGAGTGACCCAAACACAGGCTGTAAAACAGTGAAAGGACTCGCGGAAGATGCACCCCAGCATATCTGAAGTGTTCGATGCTGAGACCATCATAACCAGGCGATTTTCCTCTTACCATCTCTTTAATTATTTTTTCTATTTTTTTTGCAGGTATCTTTTCATTTCGTTCTATCATGATAGTCTCAGCCTCGCTCAAATTCAAACCTGAAACGACATTTAAGGGTGACCTTACAGTAAAGTTGCATCTGAATGCATCCGCAATATCCTTGTGATCATAAGCACCCCCAACACTCACTGGAAGACTTGGCTTAACATGCATTTTGTTTGTGTTCTTCCAGAAGCTTTTAAAGTCTTTAGAAGAGTGATTTGTCGCAATAATATCCATCTTTAGCTGTTCTTGTCTGTTTTGACACCACTTTAATTTGGCTTTAAAATGCTTTCTAGATTCTGACATCTCTTCAAATACGCGACCCCTGGACGGCTGCCCAGCCATCATCCACTCTTGAAATTTAAGCCGCGCCTCCCGATGTGGGCCCGCGACGTGCTTATTCCACCCCGTCACGTAACCTCCCTTTTTTCTACATGTATCCCTATATGTACGAATTGCTGCCAGTGATAGTATATTTATAATATTACCGTACATATTATAAAGTACAGCGTGATGTTCGTTGTTACTACAAAATGTATCACAACAGTCTCTGAGTTCCTCTGGAAGATCTATAACTCTCAAGTTTGTGTGACAAAAATCGTGATACAGTTTTATCTGTTGTGGAGTCCTGTTGCCCCAAGTAACACGGTTCACAGGTTTCCTCCTTACCTGCTCCACAACCTTAGGCTTAAGTTTATTTAAATTACATTCCACCACAAGTGGGTAGTGGTCTGACCAAAACACGTCATAATTAACAGACACGCTTACTACTGTTTCACGCGCAGAATGAGTGACTATGCAGTGGTCCAGCCACCTGTTACAACCATGAGCCTCACTATGAAAAGTAAATGTATTTTTATCACACATACTTGCATCCACACAAATCCAGCTCTCTTCATTACAAAAATCTATCATTTCATTATAAAATAATTCCCTAGGATGAGCATTAAAGTCCCCTAGTATATAAAAAGCTTCAATTCCCTTATTTTCCTCTATTTCTATTATCGATCGGATCGAACCGAGACACGTACAGAACTCAGGTAAGTTTTCATAAGAGTTTGTGGGCATATATACCAATAGTGACTTGATTTTTTGTATAAGGTGGTAGAGTATAAAATTTATCAATAAGATATAACAGAATGAATCCTTAAACGATTTGATTAATATAGTCGAGTCAACATAAAAGGGTGCGAGCTTATAAATATGCAGAGCAGTTATTAAATATATATATAAATATCGCGAATGTAACAATATAGACGTTTTAAGTATTGTTGTTAGATTTAATAAATAAATATTGAACGGGTAATTGTTATGAATAATAACAATATAATAGATGAATTCATAGATTGACAAAGTAAAATAAATTAATACATAATATACAAGACGCCAGAAAAAATATAATTGGTATTTTATTAAATATAAAGGATATAGTAAAAGAAACCATAATATATATATAGTTGAGTAACGTTCGTGAAGAATATGGATGCAACTTAGCTGCACAATTATCGCGTGTGTGACTAATACACTTAAGACCAAAAATATTTCATTAATTGAGCTCCCTTTACGTGCGGTCAAATAATGATATATAATATAGACAAAATGAGATAAGAGAGACCAATGAATTGCTTTTACAACGATGGAATTGATAAATTTAAGCAATATAACGTACTTGAAAAGAGAACAAAACAATATACAATGTAAGATTAAATTAATTTTAAAACGTCTCTTTCCTGTGATATATGCAAAGCCGGAGATGTGTCGTTCTTCCTGACGTAGATCCTCCCGTTTTTTGTCCACACATATTGATACTGCTTAAGTTTCGCCGTCTCCCTACATTTCTTTAGTAGAAGTTTATTGCACTGTGTAAGATGCTCATTGACATATACGGGACGAACGCTGCCATGTATGGCAAGGTCTTTGGTGGTCAGTCGGTTTTTTCGAGTGCCAGAGATTATGTTGTCCTTTAGAAGACGGGATTTAAGCTTTGCAATTATATTTTTCGGGCGGCCCTGTTGTTTGATTTTCGGTGTGACACGATTAACTTCTAATATATCATTAGGGGAAATAGTTACATTAGACTGCTTAGCAATGGATATAATTAAATTGGTTAAGTCTTCATCCTTGATTTCAGCAACGCCGACGATCTCTAAGTTCAAAAGGCGATCTCTTTGATTATTTGTGTTAATTTCCAATTGTAATAGTCTGTTTTCGTTAGTCAATAAGTCCATTTTAGATTCTAGTGATTCGATTGCTTTTTTGTTAACAGATAATAATTCCATTTTCTTTTGAACATGGTCATATTGGTCGCAATTGAATTGTACAGAGTTTTCTAAAACTGTGATTTGCTTCATTGTCTCGTTGTACTTTAGGTCAAGAGATATGACCGACTTTTTAATCTCGTGATATTCCTGACGGACGCTGCTTAGTTCCGACATGATCTCAGCAAAGGATGCATTTAGTTTCTCAAGATCGGTTTTTAATACGAAGTCTAAATTATTTTTAATTCCTAATATTTCATCTTGAATTTCTTTTTTCCAGTCATGTAAAGTTCTACGTATCTCTGAGGTAAAATTATTGAGAGCCTCTGAGAAGTCGTTGTCGTGTTTATGCTTACGAGTAGTCATATTGCTAGGCTCACCTGATTTATTGATGTCAGGGTTGGAATTGTAAGGCTTGCGTGGCGTGGAATCTTTCCTTATATGAGATAATACACAATCTGCCACTTTCTGATTTGGTTCGGCAAACATCAAAATCCGGCGGTGTTCACGAAAATGTCCGTTTTTCACTCCTAAAATTTTTTCGTGAAATTTGTGCTTATAGAAATTTACACCACTGTATAAAGCATCCTTTTTCGCATCAAATGTATAATTATATATAAAATAATATTATAATAAATAGTTATTTTAAACAATATATTTCAAAATATGGACAATTGTCACCTGTCACTTTTCTTTCTTTACTATATATATATAAATGTAAAATATATATAGAATATATTATTATATAAATTCGTACAGAATATATATTTAATTCATTATAACCTGTAATGAATAAATAGATACTTGAAACAAAGATTGCTATTTTTAATTTTATAATTTTAAAATTATATAATTTTATTATATTATACGACATAGATTATATATTATACACACATTTTTACAAATTAATTATATCAGGATATTTTCTATTTTACTATAATCAAGTTACAATAACCAATCTCGAACTTTAACTTTACATTCATGTCTGGAAAGAGGATAAAAATTTAGATTTCTATTTAGCTTATTATAAAGCACTGAGGATAGATATGAACTTTGTCGCCTAGAAAAAGCAGTTCGACATCTGCCAATAATCAGTACATCCGGTATTCTGCGTTTATTACGACAGATCTCAGGATCATAAGGAGTTAGTGCATATTTCACTAAGATCAATTGTTGGATGTACAATTGCCTGACAGTCAACAGTTTGCATTCTCGGTAAAGCAGATTTGTAGGATATCTGAACGGTTTAAAAGTCATAGTTTTAAGGAGACATCTTTGAGCTCTTTCTAATTTTATCATAAATGTTTTGCATGCTCCACCCAGTGTTGCCAACCCCTAGAAGTTCGAGTCGCTAGACTCAACATCAAAAGTCGCTAGAAAGTCGCTAAAACTAATTCCACCAGAAGCGAACGCAGGATTTTGTATGAGAGAGGCAGAAGAGGCCACCGGCATGCAGTGTGAAAGGTTGGGATAGGAGTGTGAAAAAAATTAAAAGTAGGTACATAAGTAATTAGATTATAATTCAAATACACATCATGTAGAACATAGGTACCTACATATAAAAAAAATACTTTTAATTAAATTATACGAGTATAATCATTGTAACAATCACATAAATTAAAAATACTTGGAAATGTGCATTTGCATTTGTAATAAACAAATAAAAATAATCAAAATTACAATAAAAATATTAAATCAGTTATATTCATCATCGTCACTTAATAAGTCAAATAATTCTTCAGTCTCATGCTCATCTAATACAGCCGCAGCAGAAGTAGAGGGTTGAACGTCGCTCAAAAGCGGATGTTGCAGTTCAACGTTTTTTGTTGTTGCAAAGGAATAGCTTTTGTTCGTTCCAATAAGCTGCAGCACTTCCGACGGTATTTCAAAAGATGCACAATTTTTATTTTGTTTTTTTAACTGATCTCTCAACAGGATCAACGCATTAATAGTTTTTAACGACAATCTATTGCGTTGTTTTGTTTTTATTATATTCATAGAACTGAAGACTCTCTCGACTTCAGCGTTTGAGTGTGGTAGTATTAAAATAGTGATTGCCAATTGTGAAATCAAAGAAAAAGGATTTTCTCCTACGGCATTTTTATACTGCAAAACCTTAATCCAAAATCGAACAGTGTTAGTAGTGTTGTTCCACTTTATAAAGTTAATATTATGCCATTCTTGCAGCATACCGTCTATAAACTCGTTACTAAAACCTAATTCTTTGGCTACATCGGCTAATGCATTAGTTTTATTCACTTTTAATGTTTCTTCAACATTTAACATTGACATTTTTTTCAGGATAGTGACATTGCTTGGTAGTCTTTGCTGAATCTGCTTTATGAGTTTCAGACTAAAATCGATGCATCTCTTTTTTAAATAACTTTTATTTTCTTGAGACAAACTTGACTCCAACATTTTCTGTTCAAACGTATAGCCAAGGTGCGGATTCGCGTACATACATTCGTTTGGAACTGGTGTTGTCAACAAATCAAATGTAGGAAAAACTATGTTTTTTCCAAGTGACTGCATGAGAAAGACGAGAGTATCTAATAGTTTTGTGGGATCATTGTCTTCCCCTTCAAATGCTTTTAGTGCTATTTGTACGTCTTTTAAAGTTTGTTTAAGATAAAGCATGTAAAGTTGATTTGAGTCATCACAATACATTCTGTACGAAAGATCAGCTGTGTAGCAATTATCATTACCCATTGCAAATGAAAAATGTAGCTTTAGTTCTTCCCACTGCTCCAGAATCCTACAAACAGCTGGTTCAATTGAGAGCCAACGGGTTGCACAGACTTTCAAAATTTTTAGCGGCTGTTTACCATAATTTATAGTCTCATAAACCTTTTTATATTCTTCTTGTCTTTTAGGCGAAATAGAGAACCAATTGTAGGTTTCCCGTACAAGAAACTCTATGTTTCTAGGTAAAGTATTTACGGAGGCGTGTGAAACCGCAAGCTGTAGAGAATGACAAACGCAGCGAATCAATATCAAATGTTTTAAGCCATGTTCTTTCTTGAGTATTTCGACGAGACCATTATTTACTCCCACCATCACAGAAGCATTATCTGTACCAATTCCTATCATATTCGCTATTGGGATTTTAAGATCTTTCAAGGAATTCACAAGAACAGCAGTCAGATTTTTCGCATCAGCAGATTCAACTAAAGCGAGCTTTAGAAACGCTGATATAATGGCTTGGTTTTTTACACTATAATACCGTATAACGATTCCCAGTGTTTTTGAAACTGAAACATCTGTGGATTCATCCATTCATCAATAAGTACACTATATTTTCGGTCACCTATATCTTCAACCAATGATTGTGTAAAATATGGAGCCAATACCTCAGTTATTATGTTAGTACACTTTGTACGATGTAATTGCATATTTTGCGCGCCCTCATCACTGGCAAACACCTTTTTACACAGTTCGCCTAAATGATCAACAGCTAAAATTGAACAATGTTCTGCAATAAATAAACAAAGGACACCTTCCGCTTTGCTTGATATTCTAACTAAAGTTTTCGGGGCAATTTTAAAGGGTAAGGTGGCCTGTGTTTTTTTAAAATCCAATTTTTGTTTATGCTTATTAGTTTTCGCATGTTTTCTAATATCGCTCAATTTAGCATAAAACTCTGTGACACATATTTGACATCTTGCTTTAGATGAGTCTCCTAAAACTGGTTTCAGCCATCCCTTAAATTCAGATTCTGCTTCCCACGTATCTCGATATTTTTGAACGTATTGCTTTTTTTTATTAGGTAAATCCATGATTTAAGCTATCACAAGTATCACAACACAAGTTTAAGCACTTTATAATTACTTAAAGTTAATTCAAAAGAGAGCGAGCCGGATGTTATGAAACAATCAACTGAGTCGATCGATGTAAAATGTCAAACCGATTGTGCAGTATACAAAACATAATGTCCGGGGATTCCCCCGTGTGCCCGTGACCGATCGCCAACCAATGAAAGAATCGAGCTATTGAGCAGTGTTGCCAACTCGGCACATGCGATATTAAATAGTATTTATGAATTAAAATCTGATATAGGTACTAATAGGTTAATGTAAAACTTAGATTTGAAAGAAAATTTAAATGTTTTGATTTGAATATGTTTTTTAAAGAGACTTTAATTTAATAAAGTTTGGTGCGTTTGTTTTCCTTATTGTATCTCTTGGCACTGTATCGAGTTGACTAAAAATTTATCCAATAATGACTCTAGAACTGATTTAATTTATACCTACTACAAAAGTCGCTAGATAAGTCGCTAAACTATTTTTGTCGTCAAAACTTTTTTTTAGTCGCTAAGACTTAAGCAAAAGTCGTCATTTCTAGGGACAAAGTCGCTAAATTGGCAACACTAGCTCCACCCCAGGCAACTATACAATAACCTATAATTGATTGTGCTAAGGCGTAGTATACAGTTTTTAATAAATCAAAGTCAGCGATGTGCCTTAGCCTTTTAAATGTCCAAATAAGTATCCTAGTGCACGATGAAATAAGGTCTATGTGTGGGAGCCAGCTTAGTTTCTCGTCTATAATTACTCCGAGATATTTAATTGATTTTGATTTCGTCATGTTAGGGCAAAGGCAGGTATCTATCGACTGTAAACCACAAGAGTGTACTGTTAGTTGTATATCGTTAACAGTTTGAGTGTTGGTTATATGGAACTGCATATAGGTGGATTTGGATATATTAAGAGTCAGTAGATTCTCCTCAAGCCAATTTGCCACAGTTTGAAGACTCCTCATCGCAAACTCCTGGACCTCAGGCCAAGTCCCTCCGTAGAAAATTAAGGCTGTATCATCAGCATAAGTAAATAGCTTGCCTTGAGTTAGTGTCATTGATCACAGGTTGTAAATGTAAACCAAGAAGAGACTTGGTCCCAGGATACTGCCCTGAGGGACTCCAAACGTGACACAGGCGTCTGAGCTAATAAATTTTTTTATTTTTATTCTCTGCACACGGTCATATAGAAAATCCTTAAAAATGGATAGGGCAGAATCTCTTATTCCAATTTTGTCAAGAATGGGTATCGAAACGGTGTCAAAAGCCTTGGCTAAATCAAGGAAAATCCCTGCACACTTTTGATTATGGTCCAGTTTATTTGTTACAAATTCGGTCAAGTTACGAACAGCATCTTCTGTACTAACACCCGCTCTGAATCCGAACTGCATATTAGATAAGATATTATATTTGTTTAGAAATTTAACCAAACGATGATTAAGCATCCTTTCTAGAAAGATGAAAGACTTTTGAAAGAGCAGGGAGCACAGAGATCGGCTTGTAATTTTCCATAACGTCCCGAGCCCCATTCTTGTAAACAGGAGTAATGAGAGATCTTTTAAAAACTTTTGGAAAGCACCCTTGTTCAAAACAGATTTTAAAAAGGGTTGTGAGTGACAGAAGTATTTTATCCTTGGTCATTTTAAGGAAGACAGTAGGGATGGAATCCCAACTAATAGCACAATCATTTCTGAGACCCATTAATATGGTTTCAGCTTCTACCTCGTCAGGAGAATCGAGCACAAATGAATTAAGCGACCAGGGCATAGTATTAACATTAGCAGGTTTAGCACCGTTTGCTAGAATTTTATCAGCTAAATTTCTTCCTAAAGTTGAAAAATAGTAATTAGCTCTCTCCACTGAGTCTGTAGGATTTTCACTGATCAAATATTCAGCGTAATTATTTTTAGTATCACATCCAGAGATGGCTTTGATTGCAGACCAAGTTTCTCTACTGTTTTTTTCATTTGCCAAAATACTTTTTTCATTTTGGCGCATGAGCTTACTTAACAAGGAATTGCAGTTATTCCTACAACGTTTATAAGAAATTTGAAGTATTTCATTGTCAGGATTCTTTTTCAGTTTTTGGTATCTTTAGGTATATACCTTATCAATCCAGGCGTCATCCAGGCATCTTAATTTTAACAGTATTTTTCTTTATAGCAGAGGTTAGTAAATTGACAAATTTTTCGGCGGCCGTGTCTGCATTTGAAGTTGAGGATATAAAGAAAAATCAGCAGGCTCTATAAATTTGATGGCATCATCATGATTTACTTTATCAATAAAATATTATTAGGCTTGCGTTTGGGGTTCAAAGAAACATTTGTTAAGATTAAGGAGTGATCAGTGATTACACTATCGAGTACCATTATTTGAGTGTTTAATACTGTTTTCACCATAACATGGTCTAAACAATTATTGATACGGGTGGGATAGGTATGACCTGGTAAAAGACCTAATCCTGCAGTTAAATTTAAATAAGGTTCGCTGTCTTCGTCTTTATTGCCTTGAATAATATTTATATTGATATCTCCCATAATAAATATGTTACTAGATTCTTAGGGACGAATATTTTTTTCTACAGAATCTAAAAAGTTGTCAATATAATAATAGGAGGGTGATCTATATACCGCTAATATTACTATATCTGGATTTATTTTAATCAAAAGATAGTTACCACCATTTGAATCAGGATCTGTTATTATACAATCAATTGAATGTTTAGAATAAACTGTTATACCATCATTTTGGATTGAACATTTTTTTGAGAAATGACATTTGTAACCTGGAAAGCAAGGAACAGGCTTATTACAATCAAGGCGACATTCTGTAAGTATTATAATATCCGGTTCAAATGAAAGTTGTGATATATATGCCATAAAGCCATCCAGGTTTTTATAGACTTGTGCAATGATATTCATGAATTATAGGATTTCCTGACAATATCATTGCATTTTAAAACATCACACACAAAAGATTAAGCCACCCTAATATTATCCATATCTGATAGTAGAAGATTCTGTAATTCAGGCATTTTTAAAGAGGAAAAATTCATTGGCTGTCACATCTTAAAATAGTAATGTGAATGTATGTCGTACCGTTTAAGGAATATACAGTGTTATACTCGTATATATATATATATATATATATATATATATATATATATATATATATATATATATATATATATTAAATTCCTAAGTTTATTCCTAACTTAGGAATATACTGCGGATATCCTCATTCCTAACTTAGGAATGAGGATATCCGCAGTAGAACCAGAGTGACCGACATAGCCCAACGGATTAGTAAGCTGAAGTGGCAGTGGGCCGGCCATATAACTCGAAGAACCGACAACCGATGGGGAAGAAAGGTTCTCGAGTGGCAGCCTCGTACCGGTAGGCGAAGTGTAGGGCGTCCCCCCACGAGATGGAGTGACGACCTGGTAAGACATGCAGGAAGTCGATGGATGCAGGTGGCTCAGGACCGTGTTTTGTGGCATTCTTTGGGGGAGGCCTATGTTCAGCAGTGGACTTGTGAAGGGCTGTAATGATGATGATGATGATATTAAATTCATAATAACAATATTATTTTTTTAATATTGTTAGTACTTCGTGTCATCCTCATATATTAAATATCAATATTAAAATAAAATTATCGGGTTCGAAAGGACTAAGCGAACAATATTTACACCTTTTAAAATTTTATTGATAACAGTGCACCAGTTATTTATACCTAATTTTATTATTATCGATAAAAATGCATCTATTACTTCAGTCGGCATGTAGTATACTCAAAGCGATATTTATTTAATATTGCATGCTTTATTATAAGCAAACTTATTAAATAAATATAATTACTTCTAGAATTAACCGGTTCAGTGCGGATGACACGCCAGGCGTGCCATCAATTATTTTTTCGAGTCGTTAAGCCCTTAGCGTTGTGACTCATTGCTAAGCCACTGCGCCACGGGGCCGTCGAAAAAATATCTGTAGTTTGTTTCAATTATTTTTAATGTTATTTATATAAAATATAGCTAATACTACAGAAAGAAACACTAACGAACAAATTAACTTCCCCGCTATGAAATCAGTGAAATATACCTCACTTTCTAGTGGTGCCGCCCTGGTGGTAGAACGTCGTGGATACCGTCGTGGATTATTCATCGACTTCTTCTTCTAACTAAGCTTGGACATCAACACCTACTTCGCTGGCTTAGCACTATCCGCAGAGATCGTGATCCTTGGCGATTTTAACGCCCACCACGCCGAATGGCTCGGTTCACGTTTAACCGATCATGCGGGGAAATCTGTTTATGACTTTGCCTTGGCATATGGTCTGACACAACTGGTTACTTCGCCTACGCGGATTCCAGATGTGGTGGATAATACACCTTCCCTGTTGGACCTTCTGCTGACCTCTCATCCGGACGGATATCAGGTTTTCGTCGATGCCCCTCTCGGCTCTTCGGACCATTGTCTGATCCGGAGTGTGGTGCCACTCACGCTCCCCTCGCGGTTGCGTTCTGCAGGATGCCGCCGTGTTTGGCATTACAGGTCGGCGGATTGGGACGGAATGCGGTCTTTCTTTGCATCCTACCCATGGGGGCGGGTTTGCTTCTCGCCGGATAGTCCTAGCGCTGTTGCTGACTCTGTCACCGATGTGGTGCTACAGGGAATGGAACTATTTATTCCATCATCTGTGGTACCCATCGGAGGCAGATCTCAGCCTTGGTTTGGTCGCTCCTGTAAGAATGCATTACGCAGCAAGCTGGGCTGCGGCTTCGGCGACTCGGGATGTAAATACCAGCATGCTTACAAAGAAGTATAACTTCGCCTCCAGGTCCTTCAAAAGAGTTATTGCCAAGGCAAAGTCAGAGCACATAGGCAGAATTGGCGAGAAACTAGTTCGCCTTCCTTTGGGAACCTGTGCATTCTGGTCTCTCGTCAAGGCTGTCCAAGGGAATTTCTGTAAGCCTTCACTACCATCTCTGCACAGGGAGGACGACTCACTGGCCCACGCCGCAAAAGAGAAAGCCGACCTTTTAGGCTCCCTTTTTGCGTCCAACTCGACTCTTGATGACGGGGGGAAAACACCGCCGACCATCCCGCGGTGTGAGTGCTCCATGCCGGGTGTGCGCTTCTCACAGCGATCGGTCTGTAAAGCACTCCTCTCCCTGGACATTCACAAGTCGAGTGGACCTGACGGGATCCCCCCAATTGTGCTGAGGACAGGGGCGTAGCTACCGCCGTATCAGCCGTATCAATGATACGGGGCCCCCGGACTACAGGGGCCCCAAACGTGTGTGAGCAAAAATTCCAAGGACTTCTATGGGACAGGAAAGGCTATTACTATTGTCTATAGAAGTAAAGAATTTAGTAAAAATGAAATCGTCTTCAGCTATGAATGCAGCCGAATCGACGAATCACCGAATCACGAAAAGTGTATATTTGATTTGAATTGTTTGGCTAGCTTAGTTCCTAGGAGTATTAATTGTAAGTAATAACTCAAAAACCCGTGTAGTGGCAGTGTAGAACACTCACTACCCTATATCTTCCCGTGGGTGCCGTAAAAGGCGACAGAGGGAAACTGAGGCAGAGGATTGGCAGCAGCATCTTTCTGATAACAGCAAAACAACAATAAAAAAACTTCGGTTGCCAACCCGCTATGGCAATATACCCCCCTCCCCCCCTCCATGAAAGTAGCGAAGAGATGGCCCCCAGTTCCCGGCGGCCCCGCTATTCCTGGCTACGGTGGCGACCATGGTAACGGCGGGGCAGGAGGTTCTGTTGCCACTTACGACGACTCGACCTGGCAACTTATAACGCACGCTGAGGACTGACGAGAAGATCGTGGAGCTGGAAGATAGATAGACAAGTTGCGCTGGAATGTCATAGGATTATCGGAAGTCCGAAGAGAGGGGGAGGACACGGTAATCCTCGAATCCGGCAATTTGTTCTATCACCAGGAGGGCGACCATCTGTCCCAAGGAGGTGTCGGATTTATCGTCCACAACTCTCTTGTTAACAACGTTGTAAATATTGGGAGTGTGTCGACGAGGGTTGCGTACCTTATACCCAGAATCCCCAAACGGTAATGTCCTCCACCTCCCGTTGAGGAGGTGGAGGACATGTATGAGGATATCTCTAGAGCCATGCATTCCTCCAAAACCTACTATACGGTGTTAATGGGAGACTTCAACTCAAAACTAGGCACAAGAGAACGGTGAGTTGAAAGTAGGGAAATTTGGAATAGGGCAACGGAACCCAAGGGGCCAGCCGCTGGCCGACTTCATGGTGAATGAGGGACTCTTTATGATGAACTCTTTCGTCCAGAAGCAGCCCCACAGGAAGTGGACCTGGTCGAGCCCCGACGGTTCGACAAAAATGAGATTGACTTCATTATGACGACCAGACGACAACTGTCCAGTGATGTCTCAGTGATCGCGAGGGTGAAAACCGGTAGCGATCACCGAATGGTGAGAGGCACACTGAACCTAACCAAACCACTAATCCAAGAGCGAGTTTTATCCGAACTATTCCGATGATATACCGGACGTCAGTCTGAGCGAGATTAGAATGGCTCTCCAGCACCTTAAAAACGGCAAGGTCCCAGGCGAGGATGGAATTAAAGCGGAGCTTCTGAAAGCGGGTGGAAAACCGATATTTGAAGTCCTCCATGGTGGCATTATACACCGGAGGCGTGGAGCAGAAGTGCGGTGGTCTTGTTCTTCAAGAAAGGTGACAACGCTCTCTTGAAGAACTAAAGACCGATTTCCTTTCTGAGCCGCGTCTACGTGCTGTTTTCGAGAGTCATTATGAATCGTTTCGCGCGCAGACTTGACGATTTCCAGCCTCCCGAACAAGCCGGTTTCCGAAAAGGCTTTAGCACCATAGATGCCAAGTTGACTGTCGGTATATCGAAGTGCTGAAGTGCTTGTACAGTAGGGCTACGATGGCTATCCGAGTACAGAACCAGAGCACGAAACCTATCCAATTGCA